CACCATCTTGGTTGGGTTAATTTGCATATAGTCACTCTGATTGGCTGGTGGGCGTGGCTTGGGGCATAGCAAAGGTATGGTCAATTTGCATGTTTCTCTTTTATTAGATTAGATACCCGAAGGGAAGGATCATATTATACTCTGCTCTGTACTATGTTGCACTTAGTACTATTCTCTTGAGATGATGTCATATAAGCACATATAGGTCTACCTCATTCTCTTAATAGCTGCACTGAGTGTCATGTATGCATATTCTGCAATTTATTTAAGTAGTTCACTACTGAGGAAAATTTGTGTTGTTTCCACTTTTTTGCCGTTGCAGACAATAAATAAACATTCTTGAATATATCTCTCTGATATCTGTGTGAATAGTATAACCGCTGCTATAAACTCATCAAACACCTTCAGAAATTATCAATTCATGACCAGTCTCGTATCTTCTATAGCCACTTCCTGTTGTCTTCACTTCTGAATTTATCTCAAAGCAACTCTCTGACATTATTTTATTTCATCTATAAATATTACCATCTTTCTGTGTCTGTAAGAGATAAGACTCTTAAAAAATAGCATATCATGAAACTTGTCCAGAGTTGTGGAGGGAGGACTTCAAGTGGGTCTTTTAGGCAAAAGAGAAGGAAAGGGAAGAGGTAGAATAGGAAAGACTAAAAAACCTTTTAGTCATAATGGTAAGACACTGAGGACTGAATCTACTTCAATTCTTACTAAATCATTCCTGAGTTTATGGCCATCTTGGGCATTTAAGTAGGTATTTTCCCTTTAACTTTAGCAAAACTGTATCAATTATTTATTGCCTTGACATTTTGATGCATTAGTGCAAATGAGCCAAAACCATATATATCTTAAATACGGATGTTTAAGGACTTACTTAGCAAAGTACATTCCCATTGTCTTTACCCTGCTCATTTTGGGTTGTACATTTTTCTTTCTTTCCAACTCCTTCCACTGGCAAAATCTGTTCCACTTTTTCCCTATTCACTTCAACTGTTTGATATCTTTACATACCTTTTCTATCTGTGAGAAGTCATTTATAAGTTTGTCAAGATTCACACTGCTAATCTTTTTCACACATCCATCGCTGCTTTGATTCATATCCAAACTAGTGCAGAGTAAATACTGTTAAAACAAACAAATAACAAATAAAATCTAACGCACTACAACAGTAGTAATAAATACTAACGTTTCTGTCCTCTACTCAGAGGACCTACTTGAGCTCCATTCCACTCAGAATTTTTGTTATGCCCATTAACAATAGCCAGTGTGTTATGGCTTCTCCATTTCTTCAGCTCCACCCTCACTGAGTTTTCTCTAAAGAAATCTAACATTAGTGCACTGATATATACACATGTAAAAATTATTTGTCCCTACCACATAAAAATTAATTATGCCACTGTTCAACACTCATCTCCTTGCCATCAGTATGGCTGGACTTAAAAATCTGATATATTATTAAATCTTTAAACATAGGTATTCTCAATTTAAGGTATTTAAAATACCTCTCATGCCACAAATATTGTTGCTGTGTTTCCTAGTACTGTGATTATTGCTATGGACTGATTTGTGAACCTCTCCCAAATTCATGTGCTGAAGTACTACTACATCCCAAAGTGACTGTGTTTGGAGATAGGGTCTTTAGGAAGTAATTAAGGTTAAATGAGGTCCTAAGGATGGGGCCCTTATCCAAAAGGATTGTGGCCATATGAGAAGAGGAAGATGAGGTATTCCTATACACACAAAGAAAGGACTAACTTTGCAGTCCTGTCTCTACCATCCATTAAAGAAGAAAAATTAAGAAAACATTTTAAAAAAGGAAGATCTTGTGCAGCCACTGTGGAAGACAGTATGGAGTTTCCTCAAGAAGTTAAAAATGGAACTCCCATTTGACCCAGTGATCCCACTTCTAGGAATATATCCCAAGAAAACATAAACACCAATCAGAAAGGATATATACACCCCTATGTTCATAGCAGCACAATTTACAATAGCTAAGATCTGGAAACAGCCTAAGTGCCCATCAGCAGATGCATGCGTATTAGCATAACCAATGGACACAGACACTGGGGCGGTGGGGGCTTGCTCTCGGGGGTGGCGATGGCTGGGAGGGGTGGTCAATTGGAGAAAAAGGACTTATGTAAAACTTTAGACAATTAAAAAAAAGTGATTTACATAAATGGAATACTACTTGGCCATAAAAAAGAAGGAAATCTTACAGTTTGTGACAGCATTATGCTATGTGAAATAAGTTAGAGAAAGACAAGTGCCATATGATTTCATTCATATATGGAATCTAATGAACAAAAGGAACTAACAAGCAAAAATAGAGAAAGACTCATAGATAGAGAGCAGACTGACAGCTGTTGGGGAAAAGGGGGCTGGGTGAGGGGTTGGGTGGAGGGATTGAGCAAGAGGAAAAAAGGGAGGAAAACTCATGGATATGGACAACATGTGGTGATTGCCAGGTAGAGGGGGGATGAGGGGAGGTGGAGGAAGGTATAATGGGGATAAATGGCGATGGATGGAGACTTGACTTGGGGTGGTGAATATACAATACAGTGTGCAGATGATGTGATGTGCACCTGAAACCTATGTAATTTTGTTAACCAGTATCACCCCAAGAAATTCAATAAAAAGGGGAAAAAAAAGGAAGATCTCTCCCTCTCTCTCTCCATGTGCTCACACAGAGGAGAGGTCATGTGAGCACACAGTGAGAAGGTGGCCGTCTGCACCTCGAGGAGAGAGCCCTCACAGGATACCAACCCTGCCGGCACTGTGATGTTGGACTTCCACCCTTCAGAACCGTGAGAAAATAAATTTCTGTTGTTTAAGCCACCCAGCATGCAGCATTTTGTTACATAGCACTACAGAGTAGATGAATACCCTTGTTTTTCACATTGTGTTTGGTAAACAAAAGACATCTGGAAATTAATATGCTCAAAGCAGTCATTCAGTGATACCATCCTCTTGTTGTTTTGTGTAAGGATCACCTTTGGTGTAGCCAGCTGGCTGTCCAGTGAAGATTAAGAGTTTGTTTAGTCCCGTGGAACCAATCCTGGAAATGCAGGAAGGATAGAGGAGGTGACTTTTGCAAACCAGCCAGCACTTAGATGTGGGGGTGCGCGTGTCTAGAAAAATCAAGATCAATACCATCGAAAAGTATGTGACACTGTTTAGACTGTTCTCTGGCAAAGAGGAAGAAAGTAGGAATCTGAAATTCAGGCCTTCTAGGCTGGGGGAGGAGCTGACGCGGGAAAGTGGCAACTAGTCCAGAGTAAAAGGTCGATAAAACCCCTAAAGTCATTACTCAGTGTAATTTGGGGGCATATGGTTGTTTAAGATGAGGTACACCAAAACACAGACATTGCTTGACAATTTGGTCATTAAAAAGTTCCATGTCCTCCTCTTTTTAAGATTATATTACACCAACAATTATTAGTGGTTTTTAGACCTCAGAGAATTTTAGCTGTATATTTTCCGTTTTTACTGAATTATTATCCTGTGTATCATATATGTGAGCAAAACTCTATATAAAATCCCTTAAATGGGTAAAACCTGATCCTCAGGCAGGACAATTATCGTAATAGCAGCTCAAGATAAACACAGTAAAATTCCTCACGGGGTAAAATGTAAAAAGCATCACTATTTGATATACTGTTATTATTTAATAGAACTATACAATAATTTGAAATAGTTAAATGCAAAATCCTCCCTCCTAACTTTGTTTTCCTTTTTGGCGCCAAACATCTATAATCATCTATAATTATCAAAGCATAATATGCTAATTAGACCAGATGTCCTTCCAGACAAAGCCAGGGCTGCGAGGGAAGCCGGTGCTGGCAGCTGGGGGAAGGAAGGCCTCCTCTTGCATGAATTTCATGCAAGTCAGGCCTCTAGTTTTAAATTTAAAAAGGTTTACAGGGCTTTGCCTTAGAACAAGGCTTCTGGGCTCATTGCATTTTCACTTGAGCTTCCTCTCCTTCCAGCTGCTCTCCCTAAGGAGCCCCTGGGCGTGTCCTCCCTGGAGAACCGCCTTCCCGGCCGACCGGCCCGCTCCCCGCAGTCACTTCCAGGGCCCGCGCTGCCTCCCCAACACTCAGCTCAGCCCTGCCGTGGCCGTGGTCCCGCCCGGGGCCTGGTGCAGGCGTGAGCCCCACTCCCCGCGGCCCTGGCCCCGCCGGGGTCCCCCGGCCCGGGGCCTGGTGCAGGCGGCCCCGTGTCCTTCCAGGGCCCCGAGCTGCCCACCAGCTTCCACCCGGCCGGGCCTCCCTTCCCCACCTCGGCCCAGCCCTCGGCCCAGCCCTCGGCCCGGAAGGCAGCTCGGGTTCC